TTTTCTCTGCACTTGAAAGACGCCTACTTTCACATCCAGATAGACCCCACCACAGGCGAATCTTGAGATTTGCCTTCGAGGGAGTGGCTTATTGATACACGGTCCTTCCCTTCGGACTGTCCCTGGCTCCATGCACTTTCACGAAGTGCCTCTGAGGCAGAAGGGAATCCGCATTCTTAATTACCTCGACGACTGGCTCATTCTGGCCTAGTCGGAGGTGGAGTCACTATCTCACAGAGCCCTCCTCCTCAGCCACTTAGAATACCTGGGGCTCAGGGTCAATTTTGCCAAGAGTGCACTGTCCCCCAGCCAACGAGTATCATTCCTGGGAACAGTGTTCGACTCAACCCAAATGAGAGCAGTGGTCGCGACAGAGCGTGCTCTGGTCATACAGCAGCTCACGGCTTCCTACAAGGCCGGTGCCTCTCGCCCCCTCAAGGCGTTTCAAAAGATGCTGGGCCTTATGGCCACAGCGTCTCCAGTGCTACAGTTGGGCCTGCTTCGTATGCGTCCCCTTGCAGGTTCCATCCCAGCGTAGCATCACGGACGCCTGCTTATCAGGGTAGACCAGGCCTGTGTAACAGCCCTGACCCCTTGGAAGAATGCTCAGTGGATGGAACAGGGCATCCCCCTGGGAATGGTCTGCAGGAGAAAGGTGGTTTCGACAGATGCTTCCAACACGGGTTGGGGAGCTCTGTGCGAAGGAAAACCGGCTTTCGGCCACTGGTCGAAAGTGGAGGACGGTCTTTACATCAACTGCCTCGAAATGCTGGTGATATGTCGGGCCTATCAAACCTTCCTACCGGACCTGAGGGGACACCACATTCTGGTCTGCTCGGACAGCATGACTGTGGTGTCCAACATAAATCGCTAGGGAGAGCTTTCCACGAGGTGCCTCTTTATGCTGGTAGAGCGCCTCCTGGAATGGGCTCAGCACAACCTGCATTTGCTAAGAGAAGCGCACGTTCCAGGCAAACTGAACCATGGAGCGGACATGTTGTCATGAAGCAAAGTCCCCTCAGAAGGGTGGATGCTTCATCCGCAGATGGTTAAAAAAATTTGGGAGATCTTTGGCAAGGCGGAAGTGGACCTCTTCGCCTCAAAAGACAAATCTCATTGCCCAATTTATTATTCCAAGGAGAAGGACGCGTTGGCCCACGACTGGTCCAACCTCCTTCTCTATGCTTTCCCCCCCGATTGCCCTGATTCCGCAGGTAATCAGATGAATCAGGGAACAAGAACGCATGGTTCTCCTGGTGGCCCCAGCATTGGTTATCAGAGCTGTCGCAGCTGCTCATAGTAGCCCCATGGCCCATTCCCCTGAGGAAGGATCTCCTCTCTCAGGTGAACAGGACGATATGGCACCCCAGGAGCTGTGGGCTCTGCATCTTTGGCCACTCGATGGGAGCCTGCAAGCCTCCCAGAGTGTGTTCTAAACACCATTTCTCAGGCTAGAGGACCCGGACCCGGACATCTGTGACGTATCGGTGATATTGTCCTTCCTGCAGGAGCTGTTGGATAAGGGGCACTCCCCATCCACGCTCAAGGTCTATGTAGCAGCTATAACAGCTTCTCATGCCCCTATTGCAGGCCAGTTGGTGGGCAGAAACAACTTTGTTGTCTGTTTTCTGAGGGATGCTAGGAGGCTGAAACCGACCCGTCCCCTCACTGTCCCTACGTGGGACCTGCTCACTGTTCTGAGGGACCTGAAGGGTCCTCCCTTTGAGCCCCTGCAGTCTGTTGACCTTCGGTCCCTGTCGTTGAAAACCGCTCTGCTGCTAGCATTAGCATCGGTCAAATGAATGGGAGACTTACAGGCACTCTCTGTGAGCCCTACCTGCCTGGAGTTCGTGCTTGGCGGCTCAAAGGTCATCCTGTAGCCGAGGCATGGTTATATACCCAAGGTGCTCTCTACTCTATTCAGGGCACAGAAGAGGACCAGGAGTTGAATTTACTCTGCCCCATCAGGGCGCTGAAAGTTTACATAGAGCGTTCTGTCCTGGACATCCCTGCCTTGCAGGCTAGGGTTCTTTCTGCATAACTGGCACACACCTGCTTACGCAGTACATGCTTAAACCCATCAGAGGATTTACTTGTGCACTCTCAGTCCTCATGGGTGCCAGGGCTGTGCAAGTCTTCTGGAACGATCACTCAGGCCGGGCGTGACCTCTGTGAGCTTAGCCCATTCGCCTTGGGAGGTGTTTACTATTCTTGTCCCCTTGGGCCCTGAGGTGCCTAGGGCAAGGTTGCACATGTATTCCTCTGCCATAGCATGGCGTGATTGTACTGGTTCCCATAGCGTCTTAGCAGACGCAGTACAAGTGAAGTATCGATAGGGAACGTACTCCGTTACAAACGTAACCTTGGTTCCCTGAGATACGGGAACAAATACTGCGTTGCTAGCCGTGCTATGCAGCTGCACGGCTCAGTCGTCGCTTCAGTCGAAGTAACCTGAATCCTATGGCGAAGTGCCCGCTTATATAGCCAGATGGCCCCGCCCATTCTGGCGGGCTTTGTGGCCATAGGTTCGTGCAGCACCACTGCCGAGCCATTGGTTCATTTTTAAAGTGTACTGCACGAACCAATGGCTGTGCAGTTACACTGCGTTATTGAAAAAGGCTTCAGTTCAGGAGGAAAAAAAGGACTTTTTCCCATAGCATCTTAGCAGACGCAGTACTCGTTCCTGTATCTCAGGGAACCGAGGTTACGTTTGTAACAGAGTACGTCATCCACTTTTTACATACAAACAAGGACGTTTTCTGTTACGTTAACTGACAGAGATTTCTTTAGCCACAGCACACATTTTCAACTAATCCAGTTGTTCCCAATCATGTTTCTGGAGCCCCAGGTTGGCTGCCATATGTAGCCACCCAAGAAAAAACACAGCATATATACACAATACTGTGGATAATCATTTTTGAATGAACAAAACCTGCATGCGTATATTTTTTTTTGCAGTTTTTACACAGTACCTTCTTGAACTAATCATATTATATATTTAAAATAAACTAACACTTTGGTGAATGAGGGCTGTAGAGGATCTGTTGTAAACTTTTTTTTTTTTGCTTGCACTCCTTGTGCAATGATGATGACTAGTTCAATATGATGAAAACCATGTTTTTTGAAACCAAGTTTCTATTATTTTACAAATTATGTCAGGAAACATAGTACAATTTTCAAGACAAAATCTATGGTACAGAGAGTTTTTTATTAATTCATAGGGATTTGTTGTAAATTGTCAAAAAATGTCAAATTATGAATGTGTCAACTGCTCAGTTTATTTAAACTTGGCAAACCATAAACAGCCATCGTTTGCAAATATTTACAAAGTTGTTTTGTTTGTGTCTCTGATAGAGCAGCAATAATGATCAGATGTGAAAAAGAACATTTGACGTTGTAATTAGACTGTAGGATTTCTTGCCTTTTTGAATGAATAATTGGCAGGCCTGGTCACACAGACCTGCTTATGCTGTTTAGAGTAGACAGGGAAGAAACAGTGTATACAAGAAATGTATACAACAGCAATGTTCTTTTTTTTTTCTTTAAATGGGTAGAACAAAGCTAAATGTCTCATCTGATCTTAAGTCTCCTGACTTCACTTAAATTGTGAATGTGCTGCTGTTAGCTTTAGCATCGGTCAAATGAATGGGAGACTTACAGGCACTCTCTGTGAGCCCTACCTGCCTGGAGTTCGTGCTTGGCGGCTCAAAGGTCATCCTGTAGCCGAGGCATGGTTATATACCCAAGGTGCTCTCTACTCTATTCAGGGCACAGAAGAGGACCAGGAGTTGAATTTACTCTGCCCCATCAGGGCGCTGAAAGTTTACATAGAGCGTTCTGTCCTGGACGTCCCTGCCTTGCAGGCTAGGGTTCTTTCTGCATAACTGGCACACACCTGCTTACGCAGTACATGCTTAAACCCATCAGAGGATTTACTTGTGCACTCTCAGTCCTCATGGGTGCCAGGGCTGTGCAAGTCTTCTGGAACGATCACTCAGGCCGGGCGTGACCTCTGTGAGCTTAGCCCATTCGCCTTGGGAGGTGTTTACTATTCTTGTCCCCTTGGGCCCTGAGGTGCCTAGGGCAAGGTTGCACATGTATTCCTCTGCCATAGCATGGCGTGATTGTACTGGTTCCCATAGCGTCTTAGCAGACGCAGTACAAGTGAAGTATCGATAGGGAACGTACTCCGTTACAAACGTAACCTTGGTTCCCTGAGATACGGGAACAAATACTGCGTTGCTAGCCGTGCTATGCAGCTGCACGGCTCAGTCGTCGCTTCAGTCGAAGTAACCTGAATCCTATGGCGAAGTGCCCGCTTATATAGCCAGATGGCCCCGCCCATTCTGGCGGGCTTTGTGGCCATAGGTTCGTGCAGCACCACTGCCGAGCCATTGGTTCATTTTTAAAGTGTACTGCACGAACCAATGGCTGTGCAGTTACACTGCGTTATTGAAAAAGGCTTCAGTTCAGGAGGAAAAAAAGGACTTTTTCCCATAGCATCTTAGCAGACGCAGTACTCGTTCCTGTATCTCAGGGAACCGAGGTTACGTTTGTAACAGAGTACGTCATCCACTTTTTACATACAAACAAGGACGTTTTCTGTTACGTTAACTGACAGAGATTTCTTTAGCCACAGCACACATTTTCAACTAATCCAGTTGTTCCCAATCATGTTTCTGGAGCCCCAGGTTGGCTGCCATATGTAGCCACCCAAGAAAAAACACAGCATATATACACAATACTGTGGATAATCATTTTTGAATGAACAAAACCTGCATGCGTATATTTTTTTTTGCAGTTTTTACACAGTACCTTCTTGAACTAATCATATTATATATTTAAAATAAACTAACACTTTGGTGAATGAGGGCTGTAGAGGATCTGTTGTAAACTTTTTTTTTTTTGCTTGCACTCCTTGTGCAATGATGATGACTAGTTCAATATGATGAAAACCATGTTTTTTGAAACCAAGTTTCTATTATTTTACAAATTATGTCAGGAAACATAGTACAATTTTCAAGACAAAATCTATGGTACAGAGAGTTTTTTATTAATTCATAGGGATTTGTTGTAAATTGTCAAAAAATGTCAAATTATGAATGTGTCAACTGCTCAGTTTATTTAAACTTGGCAAACCATAAACAGCCATCGTTTGCAAATATTTACAAAGTTGTTTTGTTTGTGTCTCTGATAGAGCAGCAATAATGATCAGATGTGAAAAAGAACATTTGACGTTGTAATTAGACTGTAGGATTTCTTGCCTTTTTGAATGAATAATTGGCAGGCCTGGTCACACAGACCTGCTTATGCTGTTTAGAGTAGACAGGGAAGAAACAGTGTATACAAGAAATGTATACAACAGCAATGTTCTTTTTTTTTTCTTTAAATGGGTAGAACAAAGCTAAATGTCTCATCTGATCTTAAGTCTCCTGACTTCACTTAAATTGTGAATGTGCTGTTTACGTTTATGCCTTAAGCAGAAACTGTTAGAAATCAGCTGGCTAAAATGTAACAAAATGAAAGGTTTCAAAAACAGAAAAAAACCCAGCAAAAATTTAAATCTTTTTCTCTTCAGAATCTCAGGTTTCCAATTAACCGGGTGGGATTCTTCAGTCTGAAAGAAAAAAAAAAGTCAATTAAATTATTTGAAAATCTTTAAGAAAAAAATTAATTTAGAGAGTTTACAGCAGCATCAAGGCCATTCTTTCCCATCTGATAAACTTTTCTCATTATGAATATTTCAGAGTCAACTAATTTATTTTATTATTATTATTATCAATAATAATTTTGAGTAAGAATTAATAATAAACCAAGAACTTACAGCTGTGTCATCCTCTTTGTAGACCTTAATGGTTTTGTCAGCCTCTGCTGTTATGAGCCGACTCTCAGACTGATCGAACACACACGCAAAGATCCCAGACTCGCTGTCCAGAGAACCAGGCTGCACTGCTGCATGAATCCTCTGGAAGTTGTAGCCAGTCCTCCAGTCCCACATGTGAATAGTGCCGTTATCAGCTGGTGTGAAAAAAGGATAACCAAGGACAGATGCAACAATGGTATGTAAGAGAAGGTATAAAGAAAAAAAGGGGAACAAATGTAGAAGACAAAATTCAACATTGTTTACATAAAACAGATTTTTAGCAGGACTGGCTTTGCAACATAAAAAGAGTGAGAGCATTTCACCTCCTGACACCAGAACTCCATCTGAATTGACAGCCAGTGTGTTGATAATAGCATTGTGTCCTGAAAGATTTTGGATGAAGTTCCCATCAGGACATTTCCACTGCTTAATGTTGTCTGGAGAACCAGAGGCAAAGGTGTACCTATTAAAGAGAGGGTTACGTAAGGAAAATATGACTTGCATATGAATATGACTTGAATCAGATTTATGGAGCTGGAATTTAGTGTGGGAGACAACCAACAATCTGTAGCATTGTTTTATTTGATTTGAGACCTATGATTTTTGTGATATGGGAAACAAATTAAACAAATTAATAACAAATTATGGCTAAAAATGATAATGTAAATCTGTTACCCTGCCAACTAACTGAAATAAGTTTAATTTGCTTTACTGTAATTACTAATACTGAAGCAATATATACAAAAAAAGACAAAACCACATCCAATGACTAAACACTAAAAATAAAATTGAAAATAAAATGTAAAAAAGCATATTCAAAATATGAATAAATACTAAAATAGTATATAAATACTGAAATAATGTTGATTTATACTTAGGGCTGAAACAACTAATCAATAAAATGTATTGTAACCGATAATGAAAATAATTGACAATGAATTGGATTAATCGATTAATTACGTCTATGCGCTTTGCACAGAAAACACCTGCTGGTCATGTCACTAGTGAACAACACATTTCTGTATACAAAACGCATATTACACATAACGGAGGACACACAGTGTGCTGCTGCACAAAAAGTGCATGGCCCAAGTTGTTCTATACATAAGAATGCTTTATATTAAGCACTTCAAGCAAACTCATAGGTTTAAAACAAACAAACATAGGTTTAAAATTTTACATGTAAAATAAGTGATTTTATTTTTATTGGAATAGTAACGATAAAGGGACTTAAATGAAGTGTAAATGTAATAATGGATGTAAATGTAATATAATAACTATGTTCAGATGAGTTCCTTGTACCTGTTAACTTCTTGTTGCAAAATTATGCTTTGAATCTCAGTGCTGAAGAATGTAATGAATGTAATGCTGTAGATTATTTGTTAGTTCAATGAAAACATTTGAATAAATTGAACAAAACAGGATAACAAAAAAAAAAAATGTTTTTTAATGAATACATTTAAATCAAACCATTAATATGGAAGAGGATTAGGGCCAAGCAAAAATAAAAATAAAATAAAACCACCTCGAGATTAAAGTCGTTAAATTTCGAGAAAAAAGTTGAGATAAAATGTTGAGGTTAAACTCATTAAATTTTGAGAATAAAGTCGCTATGTTTCGTGAAAAAACTCGTTAAATTTTGAGAAAAAAAGTCGAGATAAAATGTTGAGAATAAACTCATTAAATTACGAGAAACGAGTCGTTAAATTTTCGAGAAAAAAGTTGAAAAAATGTTGAGAATAAACTCATTCAATTACGAGAAAAAAAGTAGTTACATTTTGAGAAAAAAAGTTGAGAATAAACACAATCGTGTCATGTTCATTTCATTTTCATTTCATCTCGTTCGACAGTGTTATTTAGCGTCTGCAGTGGGGTGGGTTGGAGAGTAATGCACTGGGGAGTAGAGGTCTTCTTGGGTCCTAAAATCTGTACCCGATCCGAATAGACCCAAATCACTTCTTACCCTAGCCCAACGTGCATAAATTAATTTTTTTTTTAAAGAAAAACCTGACCCGACACAGACCCGATGAAATTAGACCCGAGTCCGACCCGACTGCATTTAATTTCGAACCCGACTGGACACGAACGTAAACGGTATTGCCGTGTGTACAGCCTGTAGCCCCGCAATCAATCAGGAAAAATCCCGGTGCCCTGCTGACTGATTTGGCCGTTTTCTCCATTACTTTGATTTATTTAACATTAAGCCCATTCAATTTATTATTAGGCTACTTTATATTAGTGCCTGTCTGATGGATACAAGTTATTTCTAGAGGTCCAACGATATGAGTTTTTCACTGGCCGATGCCGATATTTAGAAATCAAGGCAGCCGATGGCCGATATATGATGCCGATTTTTTTGTCCGATATGTTTGGCCGATTTTTTATTTATTTTTTCCTTCATCTCATAAAAGTGAGTTTGAGTACATGATTATAGCAGGGTACAAGATAGTAATAGTAGTAGTAGCCTAATTCAGAGTAATAATACATGGCTCAAAACTTAAGCACCTTCTCAAAACAGTTCCGAAACATGCTTTTTGTTTATGTTTGCTGACAGACACCAGTGTTGCAAACACAGACTTGCAAATACAAATTCATTCTCTGCCAGCAGGAGGCGCTGTTGGAGCAGGAGATATAGCGGTTTCCCCGGTAACGGCTGTAATCAAATAAGCACTGCACTCACAAACGCTACTTTATCAGGCATTACAGCAAAGATGAAATGAAAATTTTCTTTTCGGTCAGTTCTTTTCAAAGATACAATCATATAAAAACACCAGCGCTGCATTTTAATTTTGAAACGTGCAGTGATAAGTTTATTCAACGGAGTAATAACTCAATGTATGGAAACACTGGACACTACTAAAAGTCAAATGGCCAAGTGATAGCTGTGTGTGAACAAGAAGCGGCTGCAGAGTGTGAGTTGCTCCGTCTCACGCAGTCTCTTCAGAGGGAGTTCCACAACAATGCTTAGCTGCCCGCAGGTGCACCTGCCTATAAATCGGCCTAATTTGCAGCACAATCGGCCAATGTCGATTAATAAAAAAAAATGCCAAATGCCAAAAAGATCGATCGGTCGACCTCTAGTTATTTCTGAGCTCGGCTTTCAATTGTGACCAGTGGATTTGAAAAATAAACATGACAGTTTGATAAAAATTAAATCTTTAGCCTAATAATTCACGGATTCGCTAGTGTTGTCTGCAACCTGATCTCCCGCGAAAGGCTTCTGCACACAAAAAAGAAAAGCCCTATATGAACAGGCAACATAATGAAGCGAATGGATTTTCCTGATGGATCTCATATCTATAAGACGATTTTTGTGTGCGAGGTTACAAACGTAGCCTATGCTCCTTTTCTATGTGCGTTCCTCACTTAAAACGAAAGTGAAAGTAGCCTATGCATTCGGGATAGTTTAAAAGAACTCGGGTCTAATCGGGTCCATTTGGAAAAAGCATGTTTATTTTAAATTACCCGAGACCGCTAATACCGAACCCTACCCGTGTCCGAGGTACTCGAAGTTTTGGACCCGAACCCGCTCGGGTCTCTTGTCGGACCTCGGGTTTTCGGATCCAAGTGGACCCGTGAAGACCTCTACTGTGGAGTAGCGCATGATACGATTGACTGGGTTCAAGTCCGTCTTTTGCCAAACTCGCTTTTCTTCCTTTTCTCATCACATCGGAAAAATGGAAATCAATTGCTTAACGAGTATTTAATAATAATGTATTAATTAGGTAGGTTTAGTGTTACTACAGTGAATCTATTGTAAATATTAATTTGTGAATTGAAAAGTATTGTAACTGCATTGAAATTGTAGTCACACAGTGTTTCTCCTGTTTTCTGCGTCAGTGTTGTCGAGAATGGCAGCGCAGTTTCATCTGCCTTTAAACTAGTTTAAATCACTGTGACATCTGTGGTTTATATAGGAGAGTTTTGCTCCAAACTCAAACGCATCTCGCAGCGCTGTTTAGTGGTCGCATGATCGAGACCTGCGAGTAAACGCATTTGTTCTGAGCTCACGCTGCGCTGTCTTTAGGCAGAGCTAATAACGATCCGTGCAGCACGCTTCACACGAGTAGCGCTCTTCCACTTTCGGTGCGCTAAAGAAATGACAGCGCATATGTGTTATCAAATTGTTGTCACTCACGTTTTACTGATACATCTGGCCTAAAATTTAGTGCTGGCACCTTGTGTTGACATTATCAAGGCAGCCGATGGCCGATATATGATGCCGATTTTTTTGTCCGATATGTTTGGCCGATTTTTTATTTATTTTTTCCTTCATCTCATAAAAGTGAGTTTGAGTACATGATTATAGCAGGGTACAAGATAGTAATAGTAGTAGTAGCCTAATTCAGAGTAATAATACATGGCTCAAAACTTAAGCACCTTCTCAAAACAGTTCCGAAACATGCTTTTTGTTTATGTTTGCTGACAGACACCAGTGTTGCAAACACAGACTTGCAAATACAAATTCATTCTCTGCCAGCAGGAGGCGCTGTTGGAGCAGGAGATATAGCGGTTTCCCCGGTAACGGCTGTAATCAAATAAGCACTGCACTCACAAACGCTACTTTATCAGGCATTACAGCAAAGATGAAATGAAAATTTTCTTTTCGGTCAGTTCTTTTCAAAGATACAATCATATAAAAACACCAGCGCTGCATTTTAATTTTGAAACGTGCAGTGATAAGTTTATTCAACGGAGTAATAACTCAATGTATGGAAACACTGGACACTACTAAAAGTCAAATGGCCAAGTGATAGCTGTGTGTGAACAAGAAGCGGCTGCAGAGTGTGAGTTGCTCCGTCTCACGCAGTCTCTTCAGAGGGAGTTCCACAACAATGCTTAGCTGCCCGCAGGTGCACCTGCCTATAAATCGGCCTAATTTGCAGCACAATCGGCCAATGTCGATTAACTAAAAAATGCCAAAAATCGGCCAATTAATCGGCCGGCCGATCAATTGGTCGACCTCTACTTGAGCGTTTCTTAAGCTCAACTGAAGTTCACACTATACATAGCAAACCCTTATATAGCTAAAAACTAGCCATAAAAGAACCAATGTAGGTTCAATGGAAAAACATGCCTATCATGACATTTCTGTACAATAATCTTGAATGTTTCTCAACACTAAAAGTGTGTTCAGTTCTCAAAAATGAAATACGCTAAAAGGTTAATGCTCTATCGCATTTTAAAAATAGCATAACTAATATAAAAACACCAGCGCTGCATTTTAATTTTGAAACGTGCAGTGATAAGTTTATTCAACGGAGTAATAACTCAATGTATGGAAACACTGGACACTACTAAAAGTCAAATGGCCAAGTGATAGCTGTGTGTGAACAAGAAGCGGCTGCAGAGTGTGAGTTGCTCCGTCTCACGCAGTCTCTTCAGAGGGAGTTCCACAACAATGCTTAGCTGCCCGCAGGTGCACCTGCCTATAAATCGGCCTAATTTGCAGCACAATCGGCC